AGATCACTTTATTCTTTTCTCATCATTGGGGGTCAACTGCACTACAAAACTCGTGAATTGTTTTTGTATTTTTACATCATCATCCAAGTTAGATATGAAACCAATTAGAGAAAAAAAAATCAAAACAAATCTTTGGGTAGTACCCTGTACAGGGTAACTTTTCTCACAGTAACGTCAACAACAGTGGCTAAAACAATCAACTGGACCCTCCGTTGGTGAGACTTCAGCTACTAGCTAACACACATTACACTGGTTGTGGCAGCTACACAGTTAGCTGTGGTTAATGTCTTCTATCACTCTTTTGATGTCTCACTCTCTGTTTCATTTTTCAGTGCCTTATATCACACTTCAGGTCGGAGCCGAAGCTACAGACGAATGTGAAAGACTGGCTCAGATCTCCTGCACCGTCAAATCTGTGAATCCTAGCATATGTCACTCTCCACCGTTTACTAGCATCTTTGTTTTTACTGGCTAGACTATCAGTATAAAGACGAAATACTGTATTTAACCGTTATGTCAGAATAGGAAACATATGTCAAAGCAACAGTCTTAATATACAGTAATGGGTGAAACTCACTGCTCTATATATTCACATCTTTCTAATTTGTTGCCAAGAGACCAAGCTGGTAAAATAAAAACTCGCCAAAAAACAAACTGTTGCTTGTGCTGTTTTTAGAGCCCACCTGTTGTGTTTGCAAATGACAGTGTAAGTTCTTCTGGCACACAAATGAACCCAACAGCAGCTTCATCGACCAAAGGACCAAAGATGGAATGACGTCCTCCTTAAATAAAGCTAACTTATAATTAATTGATGTTTGAAGCAGCCAATCAGACCCGCTCTACCATGACAGCATGATGTCATACTGTGGCTATTAGGATGCCACAATGAGAGTGTAACATTCGACATTGTCACTTGAAGTGGAAAATAAATTCTTTCAAGTCGATCCACTCAACGCACAATTCCCATTGTTAGTCGGCTGAATTCCCTCTCCCCGAGAACAAAAAAAAATCTTTCTGCTAGTAAAAGACCGTATCCGTGCAAATTCATGGCGATCATTTGCCATGCATTAGCTATGGGACAGAAACAAAGTGGTTTTGAATTCCTTTCACCAGAAGGCAATTTCCCCCAATAAATTATGTTAATTTCCGCTTTTGCTCTCTCCTTATCGCATTTTGTAGCGAGTCAGCGTGGAGAGACAAAACGGGTGAAAACCCTGGGAAGATGATTCACTCGGAAGTTAGTGAGGAAGGAATTTGGGCAAAACAAACAAACAAACGGTTGCATTAACATATCAAACTAGTGCATGTGAAGATGCGACGGCTCTGAACTGGCACAGCTCTCTGCTTGTTGTCACTTGACGGCCATGTCCCTTGTATCATCATCATCATCGTCATCATCATAATATTCACACCCTGTGGATATTGCTCTGAGGTGACTGTTCACTGAAGGAGGAAGATGCCTGATGCCAAATCCCTCGCCACTTCTCCAAGCCTGACAACAATTGCTTGGCAACACTCCCACAGGGCAAAAAGGAAAACAAAGAAAAGTTAAGGATTTTTAATATCTCTGCACTCAGAGAAACTGCTCTTGTTTTGATCAGCGTTTCCTCGGGAAAACACTCAGCCTAAAAAACAAAAAACCTTCTCCGTATATGACAGGCCAATTTAAATGAAAAGAGAAGGTGCAACAGGAGCTGAGATTATTCTTGCAAAAAAAAAAAAAATGCATGCATGTACTTTTTCTTTTTTTTTGCACCGTGTACGTGCACACATGTACTTTTTCTTTTTTTTGCACCGTGTACGTGCACACGGTGCAGCACGGCTCTTTGTTCCTCAGGCAGAGAGGCATCTACCCTTTCTGTCCCATCCGTCAGTTCGCTCACAGCACCGAGAGCAGGGAAGTGCTCAGCCAGCTTAAAATCAAGACTGACAGGCGTACCTTTATTACTGAGTGAGTTATGTTTCCCTGCAAAAGAGACAGGTTCAGCTTTCTGTACCGGCCCTGATGAAAAAAGAAAAAGATCGGCCAGAAAATGACTATTTGATCTCCTTGTGGAACTCCCTTCTATCTCTACAAACTGACGCTGTGAGGTGGGGACCGTGTTTTTAAGGAGATGCTCGTCCTGACATATTATATGACAGACTGAATAAATAAATAAAATTTAAAAAAAAACCTGTTACACATTTCTCTGTACTCCTTTACTATAGATCAGTGGTTCTCAAACTGTGGTATGCGTACAACCAGTGGTACGTGAGTGCTTTCTAGTGGTACGTGGGGAAAATTCATATTTTCACATATTCATTTTTATCTGAATAAATCTGAAACATACCATTACCATTAGCACAATTAATACAACATTTAAACATAAACATCTTTATAAATATTTCTAAACATCTATCCAGTGTGGTGGAAGCTAACAGTGAAGGCCTCTGCTGCTGTATCCTAATGTTGGTCATCATGGTGGGACTCAGAGAGCTCAAAAGTTTGAGAACCACTGCCATAGATGAGGTCACTTCCTACGGTTGGCACACATGGGACTGTGTGAGAAGGAAGGGACGCGTCCTGACCCACATCAACCAGTCGACAACACCACGCTCATAAAAAAGGGGCAAACAAAGAAACACAAAGTGGTCCGTGCCTGTGGGAACCAGGACCCTTCAGAGAAGTGTGGGAAGGAGCCGCAGCATCCATAGGAAACCGGAGGAAGACTGGAAGAAAAATACATCGTTCCCAAAAGACCGAAACACTCCTTCTCAGACAACAACACTACACCCCACCTACAGCACACAACCCACAGAGCTGATCAAAACACATCAGTCACAACAGGCGTCATAAAACCACTTGTAAATACCAGTGCACTGCTACTCACTTAGCTTGATGAACGAGGTCCCTGGAGCAGGACTGTTTATTTAAACCTAATATATTCATAATCACAGACTAATTAAAGAGGAAAACCCGTCCTAATTCATCATCGCACCGTCCTGAAGCCAGAGACGCAATTCATCACAACTTCTACATGTTTGTCTCATGTCCGAGGCCTGGTTAACAGTTTGCAGACGGGGGGGTGGGGGGGGGGGGGGGCAAATGATGAGTGAGGTTGGAAACTGAACCAGCAGCTGCTAACTATGTAGCATGGCGAAGGTGACATCACAGACAGGATTAGATTAGATTATCTTGGATTAAACTTTACAGTCACTACAGACATCACTGATACAAGGCAGCAGAACAGCAGAGTTAGCCTTCATCCAAAAGTGAAGAAGAGCAGTTCCATGATATATTTGATAACTGGAATGAAATGACTGTGAAAGTCTATGGCCGCAGGTATAAACAGGAGTACTGTATGTGTACTGTGTAGTACAGACACAGTAGAGCAGTAGTTCAGAGTCAGTAGGATTAACAGGATTGGACGTTGGTGAAAAAAAAAAACAATGTATTTTTTTTAACACAGTTGCAGCTACATGTGGAAGTATGAACTGTACTGCAGTTAACAGTGACAGAGTGTTAGGTTGACACAAGTGCTGATAAATAAGGTAGAAGAAATATATATGTGTATTTAAATATGAGTGACTTAATATATGTATATATGTATATACATATATGCACATATATGGCATTACTTGTATACAAGTATATATATATATACACAAGTGAAATGATAAACAACACAAAAATATACATAAACATATATGTTATATATATGTCTGTTATTTATCATTTATTTGTACACTAATAATCTCATTGTTGTATTACTAGGATTTGAGACTGTATCTAATTAGGTTATGTACATCTGACCTTTAATACTGACTGATGAGAATTTATAAGACAAACAGTTACAAGTGTCTGTTTTTTCATAAATAGAGAGTAATGAAAATTAAAAAAAAAAAAAAATCATTCCAGTCCAGCATCAAATTCAGCCTGGACCTCCAGCACACACAGCTTTTACCACTGCAGCCACAGGGAAACTTATCTGTGGTCAAGACCACTGGGGCTCGTCGCACTGCACTGACGGCGATTGTTCCTAACATACAAAGAGCATAGATCTGCATCCAGGCGGGACTGTGTGGCCGAGGGGCTGCATCATGAAGTGAACCTCATCAGTGCGAGTGAGGTTCGTCTACCAACTCCGTAAAGCTGTCAGCATAGCTGTCGAGAAAACCCTCTTTAAATGTCTCTCAGAGGTGATGGATTATGCACTCAGGGTTGCGCGAAGCTGGGCATGAGAGGAGCCTTCCCCCGCTGAATGATCCTGGTTGCAGCCCTACTGCTGCTGCTGCTGCTGCTGCTGATGCTGCTGATGCTACGGTTAGACTGATGGAGACAGAGGATGGGTAGAAATGGATGCTGTGGCTGCAGCACCAAAGATGTAATAACACGATGTGATTAGCAAGGCAATAGAATTAACCAGAGGCTATAAATATATGTACACATATATGTATGCATGTATATATGTGTGTGTGTGTGTGCACATATATATGATGTTCAGCTATAAACTTCTTCCACAAACATGCGTGTGCATGTATATTTATATACGAAATGTACACACAATATATCGTATATATTTACATGTACACATGTATTCCAATTTGTACCATTGCTGTAATAGAACTTCAACAAAAAAAATCATGGAATTAAGATGAGGTTTATATGTGCGCGTGCGCGTCTCCAGCTACAACACAACTTCCAGCACAAACAGACCGCAACCTTGACTCTCTCTCTCTCTCACACACACACACACACACACACACACACTATCTACATGCACACACGTCGCCCGTGTAACCTTGAAGTTACAGGAGGGAAGGGAGAAAAAAAACTAAGAATCAACACCTTCGACCAACAACGTGCTCTGTTACGCACGGCTGCATTCATCCAAAAAATAACAGCCGCAAACAACTTCACCCGTCACGTGTAGGGGCTTCTTTGTGTGCGTCCTTTGCCGTTGACACAACGCAAACATTTGAGCAGTTAAAACACAGTGGACGGCACACGGATAACTCACCGGTGAGGCTGAAGCCAGCGGACAGGAGCCAGAGCACACGCAGCGTGGCGCTGAGTCTACAGCGGACAAAGGGAGCCGGGAGTAAGGGCATCTTTGTGCGTATTTAAAAAAAAAAAGAAAATGAAGTTTTAAAGCGGGTAATAGTCAAAGGAGAAACAGTTTTTTTCCCTCTCAGGTCCAGAGAGTAAAGCTTGAACGCCGTGTTTTTTTTTATTTTGTTTTAGTCCTTGTCCTCAGCACATATCCTCCCGCAGAGCCGTGGCCACATCAGTATCCCGGTCTCTTGCGTCTCCGTTGCTCAGAACGGCGCATCACAGGTGTGGTAAATAAAGTGCTGGCTTTGTCACTGCTGCTGCTGCTGCTGCTGCTGCTCTGCCCGGAGCCAAACTACTCTCCTCCCGCTGTCACCGAGCCAAGAGTCCAGGCAGTTTTTTTTTTCCTCCTCCTCCCTCTTTCTTGTCACTTTGCAGCCTTGGAGCTGAACGATACCTTCTCCAAAAACGCGAGCGCGGTTCAAAGTGTCAGCAACAGAACGCCGGGTTCATCTGCTTGCACAGCAATGCTGGAGCTGAGAGTCAGTCAGGGAAGGTATTGCCTGCGTTTGTGTGATGATGAGCGGAGCAGCAAAACCTGGAGCGGACTCGTGCGCGCTCGCTGGGCATGGATCGCACCCCCCCCCCCGCGCTCCGCCGCCGCCGTCCATGCACACACCCACACACACACAGAGGGGCAGAGAGAGAGAGAGATTTTAAATGATTCAGTGCATTCAACCACACGGCGACGACGAGGCTCAGAATGGAAATTATTTCAACCATGTCCTCGTAAATGGGCCCGTGTCTTACAGGGAACTGACGGACGTGACACGCGGTCCTCGGTGATGGGAGTCAGATCAGTGCTCTGCATGTAAATTCACACACGTCACATCTGCATGTCGTTGACTTCCACTCACATGTGAACACCAGACATTATCTGGTGGGTTTTCTGCAGTGACTTTGTCAGAACCATGAAGTGTTTTAGACCAGAGTTTGTTTTTCATTGTATTACATATATGAATGTATTTTTATATATTTATATATTTATATTAATTGTAAATATATAAAATACATAAATATAAATGCTGAAACAAAATTTATCCATGGTATTTTTTTTTTTTTACATTTCTTAAAGAAAAATTAAAGCTATGTTGGTTTGATTCCACTAATGTTGTGGACAGCACCTCCTGTAGGTATGGATTGACTTTACTGGACATTTCAAACAGCATGTTGCTTCTAGAGAACTAACACTTTTAATTGGGTAAAATATATATACATATAATTTAAATATACTATAGGACAAACAAATATATAGACAAACGTCATTAAAGACATGCACATACAGTTACTTAACACAGACTTTTGAAATTCTGTGTCCAAACTGTGTGACACACTGTATATTCTACCCTTGATTTTTTAAAAAAATAAATAAATAAATATATTATTAAAAATACATTTCAAAGTTCTTCCAGATTTTAGGTAGAATCTTATTTGGTTTAGTCACAAATGAAATGTACTACACTAGGTTTTGTTTTAATCTTTTTTCCCCAGTTAATTTTCAAATATTGAGGAATTTAGATTTACCCAGATTATTAGTGATTATGATCACGAGTAATCATGATTAATCACAGCAGCCCTGTGATTAATCAGATCTAATCAAATGACTGCCTTAGCTCAACTGTCATCATGAATGAATTTCTATATAGACTACAATATGACTCAGGGGAAAAAAACTCTGGTCTGATAAGCAATAATCTGTAACATGCTGTGAATCGCTGAAAGATCTGCTGAAACTTTGGGCGTCATGATGCTGTGACTCGCTGAAAGATCTGCTGAAACTTTGGGCCAAGGCTCAGTTCTCAGTCGCGACCAAAATAATCAGAACTCCTCCGGCGTGTGTTTGTGAGACGATGACAAGACGAAGAGGCCCCGATGACCAGAGCCTTCACTAGAGCACGCACCTATCAGCCAACTCTGACCAGGAAGTGACATATGCTCCACAGAGCTTTTCCTTCACTTTCCCGGGGTGTCAGCGGAGTGATGACCCCGGTGTTCGGCCGTGCCTCTCTACGATCGACAGCAGATTATTAATACAGTAAAGAGGACGGTGGGGGTCGGGGGCTGTGCCTTTGTTTACCCATCTCTCCACACCCACATATACTAGTCAGCAGAATAATAAGTGCAGGCGCAGAACTAGTCCAGTGACTTACCAGCTAATTATGGCTCTTGTGTAGATGGATGGTTCCTCAGACAGAGCTCAGCTATTATACAAACTCATTAAGCCTTCTCTCCATCCAGCATGGCTCGCTAAAGGTCAAAGTCACAGTTGGAATGACAGTAGGATACAAAGCACAGTGACACACACACACACACACACAAACACACACACAGACCCTACATGCAGCCTCGCCGCCACAACAGTCGACGTGCAAATCCTGACGGGCACCTCAGACGCAGACGGGCTAAGAAAGGCCAGACGGACATCAGTGAAATGGGACAGAACGACTCAGCCCTGGTCACTGCTGAGGTTTGTTGGCAACAATTTCTCCCATTCTGATTGGCTGTTTGTTAGCAGGGAGAGCGATGCACTACACTGTTTCTGCCTCTTTTTTTTTTTTAAATTAATAGAAACTTTTGTTTATGTGGCTACAGAGCCACACATTGAAAAAAATCAACCATTTATTATCACTGTGGTTGATCTGGTGTCCAGTTAACCCAGTGATTCTCAAAGTGTGGGGCAGGCCCCTCTGGTGGGACGCAGCAAACGGGAGGAAATCTTCAAGGTTGAAGTGATGACGGCACAACTGCAGTTTTATTTTGCTTTTTGTTTTTGAACTTTGTGTTATTTTAATGTTATTGACTTATTACAAAATATAACATTAGTAAATTACCAAAAAAGTTTGAGAACCACTGAATTAACCTGACGCCCATAATTTGTGTACAACATTAGGAAGGTTTACTATGTTGCTGGTTCAATCTGACGGCACGGCGCTCGAACTCTGGTCTCCTACAGTACAGTACAGTACAGTACAGTACAGTACAGTACAGTTAGTCTGTGTACAGTACAAGAAATCTTATCAGGGCTGCTATTAGTCTAAATACAGATTAATCACAGGCTTACTAAATTACAGTAAGCTATAATGTTAGCCGGACTCTAATATACGCCTCCTATTAATAACATGAGTCACTGGTAGATATCAGATGGTAGAAGAAAAAAAACCAGATGAAACACTGGAAGTGTTCAGTCTTCTAATTTGTTAGAAAGGAAGGGTAATCAATCTGCGTCACTCCCACAGCCGGTGTCAGATAAACATCCATGAGACGAAGAGATTGGGGTTAAATCGCATTAGCATAAAGATGAGGTATGCTAACATTTTATTAAACGTTAAAAGATCATTTCACGGGAAATATAAAGTGTACTGGCACGGACACGACCCTCTGTTTGTATTTTCTCTTTTCCTTTTCATGTCATCAGTACGGGGCTGTATTACAAGAAGATACAACACTAGGTGGCAGTATTAGTGCACAAGGTACAATGAGATGCTTTTGAATTGTACAAAGAAATATCCATCCCTGGAATGTTAGCAGTTGTATCGATATTGATCGGATCATCAAATTAAACTATGTGTAAAACTTATACAACTAAATGTGATTGATCGGATCATCAAATTAAACTATGTGTAAAACTTATACAACTAAATGTGATTGTAAAGAAGGCAACGAGTTGCTGGACTGATGTAGGAAACAACTGCTACTAGAATTCCAGTAAGAAAAAAACAAAAGTTCTCTTTTTAGAAACATCTGAATCCCAGTAAGATTCTACAGCATTTGTGGGAATCAAACCAATCTACGTCACTGCCTTGCTAACTGTAACCTTAAAGAAATTCAAGGAACGTTGTTGTGTGTGTTGTGTTTTACTGAGGCCGAGCAGAGTGCGATCTCATGAACCTGCCTCTCTGCCCCCTCGGTGTGGCTGCACTGAACAATCGTAGGTCTTCGGGGAATCGACACATTCAGTTGTTCATTGATTTGTGGTGTTGTAATTAATTTTCTCCCCGTCTTTGGCTTGAGTTGTAATATCCTGAGATTTGAAGCAGCATGTTCTGCTGCAATCAATCACCAAACAGAGACAGAACTTCTATAGCGCCGGTATCATCTTGAATTATTCAGAGCAGCAGTTGAGCCGATGATCCACCATTGGATAAGTATTAAGAAAACATGAAGCTCATTTGTATGTTCCAGATTGGTCAAGTCATTGTGTCCACGTGCGCCGCTGCAGGAATTGGGCAATTACCCTCTCAACATATGTTCGCCATAAAGACAACTGATTCGCGTGGTCGATGGTCATCGATCCGACAAAGGTGTCCGGCGTGAAATTAATATTATTTATTGTTTACAAACAACACGGAGGCTCCCATGAGGAGGATGAGGTGCGGACTCTGGCTGCCTGCAGACCAGCACCGATGTGTGGAGAGCCAGTGTATCAACTTCCACCACGACCACAGCTTCACAGCCTCCTGTTTTGTTTATATCAAATTAAACTGCAATGCTACTCCAGAGAGATATAATTGACCACAGTCTCAGATTAAATGACTGTAAAGATCTTAATAAGCCATCAGCGGATTGCATATTACATTGCAAACCACTTATGAGGATGCAGCCCAATGAGAACCAAATTGAGGTTCGGAATTGCACGCCGCAGCGTTTTTAGCCATTAATTACCATGCAGAATGAGGGAATGATCATCAATAAGTGTATATGATTTAATTAATGCAGCTTAAGAAATCCCGGCTGCACCAGGAGGTCCAAATGGTACCGAACGTCTGTCAACAGTTGAAGTAGTCAGGGTTTTTTTTTGCAGAAACTGAAGTCATTTTGGTAAATTATTTCAAAATATTTCCTTAGGAACATACTGGATTCTGGAAGTACTTTAAGTTACAAAATAAATGTCGAGACCTTTCAGTGTAACATCCGACACGTCCAGCCTCGTCCTGGTCTTCCCTCCTTTTCTTTGTTTTTATCTTTTTCCTGCTCCTGTTTTGTTGTGTCTCCCTCCTCTGGTGACTGATACTCCAGGTCTCCAACTTCCTGCTCTCCTGCGTTTCCCACTGCTGTGATTACCGTTTCTTTCCATAATGTGCCTCAACAGCATCTCGTTATCTCCCGGCCGCCGTGTGCATAAATTCCACGTCCTCCCAGACTCCTGTGTCTTCATCCATGACCAGGATTCTTTTGTTTGGACCCCGTTTTTTCATGGATTCTGTTTTTTTTTTTTTACTCGTGGATTTTTCTACCCTTGATATGAACTGATATTCTGGACTGACCATTGGCTGCAGTTTAATCGTCGGAGGAAAACAATGAGTTCCTAAATTAACTCGGTCATTCAGACCACTGTATCAGTTATTTTTAACATCTATCCAGTCATCTCTTCATCTATGTGTCCATCCATCTTTGTGTAAATCTATACACTGTGTCTTTCTGTCCATCCATTCACTACATCTATTGTATGTATCCATCCAGCTCTTTTTATTCATCAATTTATCCGTCTGTCCATCCATCCATCCTTCCATCTCTTTCTATCTATCCATCATTTGTCCATCCATTCACTGTATCTTCCCATCCATCCATCATCCCTCCGTCCCTCCGTCTCCCGCAGCCCTCAGCCTCCCTCCTTGTC